AAGTCGTGCCTGACTCTGCAGCCCCGTGGACTGTAGCCCGCCGAGCTCCTCTGTCCTCTACCATCTCCCAGTGTTTGCTCAGATTCATGTCCATTGAGTTGGTGATGCTGTCTAGCCATCTCATCCTCTGCCACCCCCTTCTCCTCTTGCCTTCAGTCTTTTCCCAGCATCAGGGTCTTTTCCAATGAGTCAGCTCTTTGCGTCAGGTGGTCAAAGTACTAGAGCTTCAGCTTCAGCAACAGTCCTTCCAATGAATATTCAGGGTTGATTTCTTTAGGATTGCTGATTTGATCAGAACATATTAATTCTTTTCTTGTATAACTAATAAAAATGACTACTTAACAAAATAAGTGCATTGAATGTAAAGAATAAAACCTATCTAAGGCACTGTTACTGCAAACAGGAGATTATTCACTTAACTAACAGAGTTGATGGGTAAGTCAGAGAAGGGCTCAGGGCTGATGTAAACTACAGCTCTTCCTCGGGAGACCATGGGATGGTAGAGAGTCAACCTCCGAGTGCTTCAATGATAATAATAAAAAACAGACTTTCTGGGAACTCATGTGACCAGACCCTGTATTAAATGCTTTATGTGTATTTTTTCATTTAGACCTTAAACAATCCTATGCAATAAGTACTATTTTTATTTTTGTTTCACAGCTGAGAAAACTACAGCTTAGAGAAGTAAAAGAAAATGCAAATTACACTGTTATGTTGTGGCCCCAGGACTGAATCCAGGCCTGAACGACTCCTGAGTATTAACACTGGACAGTTCCATGTGACTTTGCATGCACTTCTCAGTGTTCTTCTATTAATAGAAGAATAAGTAATTGTAGGATCATAGCGATTACTATTATCCTTAAACTTCATTGTTTGCTGAGTTGTAGGCACTGTACTGGTTTCCTCATGTGCATTCTTTTATTTAATACTCATAACAACCCTGAGATGGGTACAGTGGGGCTATCATCCCCATTTTACCTATGACAAATAGAGGTCAAGAAACCTGCCCTAGATTAGAGTGGCCCCTGCACATTTAGTCTTCTTACTGTTTCCTCAACATGCTGGGTCCACTCTGTCCAGAACATTCTTCGGATCATCAGCAGATGGCTTCTTTAATGTTCAGATTAGAACTAAAATGTTGCCTGCCCACAGAAGCCTCTTCCACCCCACCCAAAGTAGTACTGCATATACTTCAAGCATACAGTAGGTGCTCTGTAAACACTGAGTAAGTTAAGGCATCCACGGACCTTCTCACATCCCTAGATTTGCTTTCCTTGTTCCCGCAGTCCAGTCAGCTAGTCTGCCTGGATCAAATCCTTCCTCCCTTCCTCCCAGCCCCTGAGATATCACCTTCTCTGAGCACATACAAGACCACCAGGGCTCAGCCATCAAGTTGTTCCAGTCCCTTCAGTCCTGTAATAATCCTTCACTCTTAAGCTACCAATTGATTCTCCTTCTGCACATTCAACAACAGATCTCTCGTCTCTACTCCATTCTGCTTGGGTATGTTGGGAGGAGACACATAAGTGCATTTCTACCCTGGGGGGGGTGCTTCCCCCACTTGCAGGTGGAACAAATGTGTAAACAAGTAAATATTAAATCAACACAGTGGGAGAAATGCAAACGAAAGACACATGTGATGACTTGGGCAATGCAAACAACCAGAAATAAAGAGATACATATGCAAGGCTCAGGGAGGCTCAGTGCAGGAAACCCAGGCAAGCAACAGTGTGGCCCTGAACTAATCAAAATTCATCATCAGCATATTTAAAAAGATGTAGAGTGGTGCTGGTTTCGAGTCCTGGCTTCATCATGCACTGGCTGTGGGCAAATGACATGGCCTCTGGGCTCCAATTTCTACCTAAGGAAAATAATATCTGCTCCACAGGGATGCTTTAATATAGAGGAATAAATGAGATAATATCTCAAAATGTATATGCTCCATCAATGATAATTAAGTTACTATTGAAAAACATTTTAATACAGAAAAACCCTTTTAGCACAAAGATATTCATGAAGTGTTATTTGTAATAGAAAAAAAATGAAGAAAATTCAGAATCCTCTTGGAATAGTATGAAGCCATTAAATTGTGAGAATGTACTGTAGAATTACAGATACAAAAGCCCTAGACAGGGACTTCCCCGCAGCCCACTGGTTAAAACTCTGTGCCTCCAATTGAGGGGGCACAGGTTTGATCCCTTGGTCAGGGAACTAAGATCCCACATGTTGCATGGCAAAAAAAAAGACAAAATTGTGTATGTGGTGTCATCTTGGCCATGTAATTATATTCCAAAAATCCCCTGGCATCTCCAGCTTGTGGGTTTAACCCAAATTTCTCTGCCTCATTGCCTCCACCTGCTCAGGCAGACCTTTGCAAATGTTCTAGGGGCCCTAGGGAGTAGCTAGATCATGTCTGCTTCCCCCCACCACCCCAATATTCATAAGATGTCTATACTTATAGACTCAGCCATTCTTTCCAGATCTTCTCTGTTTACAGTGGGCATACCTCCATGGTGGGGTGGGGGGACCAACCACCAGGTTTGCCTGGACTTGAGAGATTTCCTGGGATACAAGATTCTTATGTGTTAAAATTGGGGAGGTCCTTGGCAAATTGGGATAAGTTGGTGACCCCATCTTGTTGGTAATCCCATTTCTTTGGTGACCCCATCTCACTGCCCAGAATACTTCCAAAGGTGCAAGCATTTTATGTAGGTACCCAAATGACATTTGTTTTCTCAGCTGGAGCCAGGCTGTGTTCCTCCCTAAATGAGGACTGATAGGTGAGCAAAATATTTGTGTTTAAATTCAGAGGATTTTTATCTCTGGTACTAGGGAAGTGAGTAATCAAATGGTTGCTTGAGAAATAGGTGATCCGAGCACAAGTTTGGACAAGAGATGCTGGCTTGGAAAACACGAGCTTCTTGGGTGGTGACTGAAGTCACAGAAGTCGGAGAGAGTGTCCAGGCAATGTGTAAGCAGGACAGAAACCTGAGGATAATGCCATTGGAGCTAGGAGGTGGAGGGACATGAGTCCACAAAAGAAACCAATAAGAGTGGTCAACGCAATCATGGAAAAGTTAGATTTGAGGTTCGCAGGTCCGGGACACAGTCCTCAATCAGCCCTTAGCTTCCATTTGGCTATGCCTCACTCCAAAGCCGGTATTGACTGAATATTCACTACATCATCAAATAGACTTCTCTTCCATCTCTGAAATGCAAATGACTTTCCAAGGTCTATATGAGCTGTTCTTTTCTCTCTTTGCCCTGTCTTTCATAGTAGTTTAATTTATCCCTGGGGCAGCTGTTTTCATCTCAAGGAGGCTGGCTCCCAAATTATACCTTCAGTTTTAATCTTGTGAGAGCTTGGGTCCACATTTCAAACTGTCTCCAAGACATTTCCAACTCATATTCCCACCAGTAAGCCAAATCCAGCCTCCTAAATAAGAAGCATCACAGGATCATAATCATAGATGCTAGCATTGGAAGGAACCGTAGAGATGGTCTAATCCAGACCTGCTGAACCAGGGAGCTATGACACACACCAGCACACAGTGAATGAGGTCTGGATGGTGGGGGACGGGGATGTTCATCCTCCCAGCCCCTACAGTGACTGGAGCCTCTGGACCAGTCACTCCTGTTCACTACAGCCTCATCCTCTGATGGTGTTACATGGGGGCGCAGGGGTGGGGGGGTATTGGTGGTGGTCTGAGACTGAGCAAGAAGCCATCATTGACAGTCAGATGCAGGGCACGAAGTTGCCTAGATAGAGATGCTGGAGGAGTTTGTGTCCCAGGTACCCAAGGAGCAATCTGGCAGGTAGGAAGTTGTGAATAAATGAGTGTGTGTGGTGGGGGTTCTGGTGCTCACAGCTCAGAAACTCCATCTTCATATACTTCTATGTTGGATAATCTTCTCTATTTGTGGCTGATGTGCCACAAATGATGTCCAAACTGTGAAGTGACTAATGTAAAAGTGTCTGTGTTCTGTAAGCGGGGGCTTCATCATTGTTTTGAAATATTAGCTATGAACAAGTCTGACTGGATCGAAAATCCACAAGAAATTTTAGAAGCACGTTTGTCATGAAAGAAAAGGGAGAGCATTAAACATAACTTAAATATAATTTCTACTGTTGTGAGTGGTTATAAAAGATGGTTTAAATTTCTTTGTATCACCTACTGCTGCACAGTTTCTTGTCATTTAACGAGATCACTGTTCAAGAGTCTCAATCAGGAATGAGCTATTTAAAACACATAGCTGAGAATATAAAATTAGATACCAGGATTCAAGTTTCTCATTTAACAAAAATTTTTTTTGTAAAGTGTTAACAAATTTTCTATTTATTGTCTTCTCCAATGTTCTTGGGCTTCCCTTGTGGCTCAGCTGGTAAAGAATCCGCCTGCAATGCGGGAGACTTGGGTTTGATCCCTGGATTGGGAAGATCCCCTAGAGAAGGGAAAGGCTCCCCACTCCAGCATTCTGGCCTGGAGAATTCCATGGACTGTATAGTAAATGGGGTCGAAAAGAGTCGGACACAACTGAGCGACTTTAACTTGTTAATGCTATATTTTTAATTTTCATTATAATTGTATTCTATAAAGAAAACATTTTATCACACTCAATAAGCCTGTCTAATTTTCACTGGGTGCTGTAATGTGAAAGGGTTGTAAAGTACAGACCTAATCCTGCCCCCTTAACTTCTATGTGAGGAAACTGGGGCCCAGTCAGGGTGAGTTGTCTAAGGTCACAGAGCTAATCGGTTCCTTCCTAAACCAGCTCCTGTGCTGACTTTCTGAGTCTTAACTGCAGGTCTGTAATACATCATTCCCCAAACTCTCCAAGTCCAAATTAAAGCACGTTCACTTTTCTCTCTGTGTTGTATCTCACCCAACCTACAGTCCTTCTCAGATCGAATCAGCCCTCCACTTTGTGGGAGCTGACATACCAGCTCCTTGCCACATCGGCCTTTGATTTGTAAAAACACTGTATCTTTACTGCAAAGTATTTTACTGCAAAGCACGGTAAAGTGAAGCATGATAAAGTGAGATATTCCTGTTTGTTTATTCCCATTTTACTGCTGCTCCTCTCTCAATTCACATCCATGGCTTTATGGAAACTCCATAGTCTAGGTGACTAAGCAAGACATTTGAACTTGGTGTAACAGATGGTATCAGCTGGGAGTAGACTGCTAAGGTGTTTTAGTTGCAGTTGGAGGTAGTCTTGAAAATGGTCCTGGAAGTGGCATATGCTGTGAGTTGTACTCTTGGGTTCTCTTTCCCTTGAGAAAGACCACACCAATTCATGGGCCCGGTGGGTAGGGACTTAGGCTGGTGACAAGGCAGTCTGGGAGAGAGGATATAGACATAGATGAACCTTTCAAAAATAGACTTAGGAAGCGAGAGTACTTGCATCCTATATGAATATTTATCAAAATGTCCCCACTGCTAAAGAAGCCTTAATAAATTAATGAACAAGATGACTGATCAGGTGGATGAAGCTCTTTCCTAGTCAACCTTTCCCTAGCCTGCTTATTGGAGTCATGAGCTCATCACATGCTTCTCCCCGACAAGGAGTATCTGACCACTGCCACTGCAGAATGCCCATTTAATTAACAGAAGGAATCATTATCATGTATTAATTCTATCATGGTAGGTACAGTGAGTCAACCTCACTGGGAAGGGGTTTACACTGAATTCCCCCCCGCCCAGCTATGCTTTTACCATCCTCGTCTTAAACGAGTTTACCAAATACCTTATTCACCACCATGGTATCTTATACATTATGACATCTGTCTTAGTTCAGACTGTTATCACAAATTACCATAGGCTGGGTGGCTTATTAACAACAGAAATCTATTTCTCACTATCTGGAAGCGGGAAGTCTGGGATCAGGATGCCAGTGTGTTCGGGTTCTAGCGAGAGCCCCCTTCCAGTCTGCAGACTACCCGTTTCTTACTATATCCTCACACACAGAGCAGAGATGGGAAGCAGGCTCTCTCATAATCTTATGAGGGCAATATTCCCATTCACGAGGTCTCCACCCTCACCGTCTCACCTAATCCCAATTACCTCTCAAAGACACCATATCCTAATACATCACGCTCAGGGGGAGGATTTCATCTTGTGAATTCTGTGGAGACACAGACATTTAGTCCATAACAGCATCTGACTAAGGAACTAACTTTACAGTGAAGTAAGAAACTGGCTGTCTGATCAGATTCACTGACCCCACTGTGAACCCCAACAACCAGAAGCATCTGACTTTAGGAAACAGTGGAATGACAGAGAATGCATGCCTACTGCACCAGCTGGAAGCTAAGAGCTTGAGAGCTAGGATTCTATTTACAATAGTCCCTGGGTATCTTCCGGGAATTGGTTCTAGGACAGCTCTCCCCACACCCTCCCACCCCCAGATAACAAAATCCAAGTATGCTCAAGTCTTTATATAAAATGGCATAGTATTTCATATAATCTACACACATTCTCCCATATACTTCAAATCATCTCTAAATCACTTATAATAATGAGAATCTATTTGAAATAGATTTCCTCTGCAATTAGATTGTAGACTCTGAAGGCTGTCACCATTTTAAATATCTTTGTATTTAAGTACCTAGCATTGTACTTTAAAAGAGAAATTAATTTCTATTTGGCTGTGCTGGGTCTTGGTTGCTGCAAGAGCGGGGCTTCTCTCTAGCTGTGGTGTGTGGGCTTCTCACCGTGGTGACTTCTCTTGTTGCAGAGCACGGGCCCTGGGTGCCCGAGCTTCAGTAGTTGCGGTGCATGGGCTTAGGAGGCCCAAGGCATGAGATCTGGGACCAGCCATAGAACCTGTGTCCCCTGCATTTTCTTTTTTTTAAAAATAATTTATTTTGGCTTTCTCTAGCGGTGCTAAGTGGGGGCTACTTTTCATTTCAGCACACGGGCTTCTCATTGCAGTGGCTTTTCTTGTTGTGGAGCTAGGCAGAGGGGCTTCACTAATTGTAGCACGTGGACTTTAGTTTTGGTGCACGGGCTTAGCTGTACTGTGGCTTGTAGAATCTTCCTAGACCAGGGATTGAACCCATGTCCTCTGCGTTGGCAGGGGGATTCTTATCCACTGTACCACTGGGGAAGTCCCTAGCACTGTACTTTATTTATTTTACAAACGTAGTCTTTATTTTCGATTGTGCTGAATCTTCCTTGCTTTCCTATGGGGTTTCTAGGACTGTACTTTAAATAGTGCGGGATACAGGTTGCAAACTTGGAGGTTCTGGGCTATATCTGAACTGCATTCATTTGGATCAATCTGAAGTATACTTTCTTCATCGACAGTTTCCAACATTTAAAAACCAAGAGATTCATGTGCAGTGCACATGTGCACCTTCAAAAAATTTGAAGATTTGGCCATTTCGGGCCCACATTCCTAAAGCTGCCCTCTTTAAACAAAACTCAGGGACTTCCATCTGTGAAAAGTCCACACCTTGCCCACTTGATTTACTTTCATTAATTACCTGGTTCCTGAAGGCATATAAGTTTGCCACCCTTGTCGCTCAATGGAACTATTAATATATTGAATAAGTGAATTTGGCCATTTATACTTGTATGTTCATTTTCATTTCACGTATGCATTCTATCCTTCTAACTCCGCTGTAATAATTCACTTGGGGAATAGAATCCTGTTAACACAAATCACTTCTTTGTGGTCACATGTTTCAAAAATATTAATACATTACAAAACACAGTCTGGGTCTTAGCCCCAGACCACTTCGAGTTGAGTCTTCGTTTTGGTTCCTGGTGTTGGTGGTTTTAGTCACTAGACTTAAGACTAGCCACTCTTTGTGAGCCCATGGCCTGTAGCCTGCCAGGCTCCTCTGTCCATGGATTTCTCCAGGCAAGAATATTGGAGTGGGTTGCCATTTCCTTCTCCAGGGGAGTCTTCCCGACCCAGGGATCAAACCCGGGTCCCCTGCATTGCAAGCAGATTCTTTACCAACTGAGCTACGAGAGAAGTCCAGCTTTGGTCCTGGGATGCCTAAAATTTCATCCTCATGATTCGTCCCCTGGATTTAGCCGAGACTTTGTTACTTGTCAGGTAGAGATTAAAATTATTTCCCGATAACTCAAACACTCAACATTTTAAAGTAGATATTAGGACAGAAGTTATTCTTTCTACAGCAAGGAAGAAATTAGAAAGCTCTTTCTGAGGTGGTCGAGTTTCTAGCTGGGACACTGGCAAAGGTGGAGGAGGCTGGAATGTAGTTGCTTTCTGAAGTTTATCGAAGGCTTTTTGGGAGGGGGTTTTTATCCCGAGTCTCAGAGCGACCCTCCCTCTGGGCCTGGCAGCTGAGGGCGGGGCTTCTAGTACAGCGCCCCCTCCAACCCCTCCCACCCCTCCAGCAGTTATTGGTATTAATTTCTGGACTCTCCTGAGCCAAGCGTTCGGAGTTTCACACTTCTGGGGGCTCGTCTCACCGTCCCCAGGTAACTTCCCATCGTTGCTGGCGCTCACCTGTTCCTTCTGTCGCTGGAGTTGCACCCCACCCCACCCGCCGGCGCGATACCCTCTCTGGCTCTCTCAGCATCACTTTCCCCAAGGGGACAGGACGGGACAAATTTGGGGGCTTCCCTGCCCTCGTCTCCTAGCGGGGGAAAAGGACAAGCGGGAAGGAGGCCCCGTGAGTTCAGAGTCGGCAGCCGGCTCCCGGGGCCGTCACACGGGGCGCTTCGCGACGGAGAACCCCTCTCCTCACAGCCGCCGGCGGCCGCGGTCTAGCCAAGTCGCGCGGAGGCGCTCCGGGCTCCCCGCCCCCGACCCGGCGCTCCCGCACTCCCCCTAGCGGCCGCCGCGCGGCCTCGCTCCGTCCCAGGCTCGTCGGCGGCGCAGCTCACGTGACCGCGCTCCGGGCCTGCGGCCGCTGTCGGTTCCCCCAGTCACCGAGCGAGAGGGAAGAAACAAGATGGCGGCTGAAGGCGATCCGGAGTGGGGCCCCAGCAATTCGGATTGAGCCTTCTCCCTCCACCCGCTTCCGCCGGCCGGGCCCCTCCCGCCCGGCCCCGCGGGCCTCCCCACCCG